GAGTGGCGGCAATGGATCGCCAACAACACGGTCGAGCTGGTCACCGAGGAGGAGGAGGAGAAGAGCATCCCGAAGGACAAGATCATCTCGGTGCCCATGCGTTCGGTTCGCACGAACCGGGGGCGAGGACTGGAGCTGGAGGCGAAGTCTCGCTTGATCATCCCTGGCCATCTCGATCCGCAGCTTGGTCTATTTAGGACGGATTCGCCTACTACTTCCCCTTTGGCTGTGCTGGTGTGTGCGTCTATCACAATGGCGATGGATTGGACATTCGAGTGTTTCGACGTAGCGACTGCGTTCCTGTCCGGGCTGAAGCTGGAACGGGAGCTGTATGTGAGGGCTCCTAGGGACGGGCTTCCAGCCGTCGACGGTGCTGGATGGCCAGCCGTGCGGCCTTATGCGTTGCTTCGTTTGCTGAAAGGGGCGTGCGGTCTGACTGAGGCGCCTCGGTTGTGGTATCTCCGAGCCCGCCAGGTGTTGACGGACGAGGTCGGCTTCGTGGAGCTGCGCTGTGCTCGAGCTGTCTTCGTTTATCGAATGAACGACAAGTTGATCGCTATGTTGACCTTGCACGTCGATGACGGCATGCTGTTTGGAGACCCACGCGATCCCCAGTGCCAGGAGGTGAAGGCGAACATCAACAGTCGTTTCAACATCAAGCACTGGAAGAAGGGCAACGACAAGGAGGCAGTCGCCTATCTCGGTGAGGAGTGGTGGCGCCACCCCGATCACATCGAGATCAGCATGCACGAGTACATCGGCAAGCTGACGAAGCACCCCCTTGCAAGGGGTGACAACGAGGAGCGGGAGATGACTCCCGAGGAGCACCACGACTGCCGGAGCTTGCTCCAGAAGGTGCGATGGCCTGTCGCACGCGTGGTGCCACAACTCGCGTATAGTGTCTCGGCGCTCGCACAGAAGGATCCGAAAGGTCGGAGGTTGCTGCGCCTGCGAGTGCTCAATGACATCATCGACCGGCTTCAGGACTACGACAAGAGAGGTCTTGCGACTCTCCGGATCCGCCGTGTGGACATCGAGCGCTTGCAGGTGCTCACGCTTATGGACGCTTCGAAGGAACCCGGCTGTAAGAGCCAGATGGGGTTTATGAGTATGATTACGGACACCCGAGTTTTGAAGGAGCTAACTGTATGCTGTCTAGTGGAGTTTCAGAGCAGTACTATTACACGAGTTGTTGGATCTACGATGGCCGCAGAGTCTGCGGCTATGTCCGTGGCTTTGGATCGGCAGCTTTACCTCAGGCTGCTGATTGAGGCAATCTTGTACGGGGAGCCGCCCTTGCAAGGGGACTGGAGGCTGGCGCTGAAGGTTCCAGGGGCGCTCGTGACGGATGCGAAGTCGCTCTACGATCACACGTCCAAGATCGGGTCGATGCCGGTGTCTCGGCAGACCCTCATTGACTTGCTGGTGGCCAAGGATTTGATAGAGCAGGAGGCTATCAAGTTCAAGTGGCTGCCTAATAGCCACATGCTAGCGGATGTGCTGACAAAAGCCGTGCAGCCTAACGAGGTGCTATCGCAGTTCCTCCGCCACGGCCTGTTCAGCATGGTGCCTACTGCTGAGCAAGAGGATGAGGAGGCACACCGTCTGCGGCTGCGCCGCGGACAGCGTGAGCGAGCCAAGGAGCGGAAGGCCCAGCGTCGGGTCGCCGTTCCAGGGCCTGCGAGCCCGTGAGGTCCTGATTGCAGCTGCTGATGGACCTAGTGAGGGCTACGGTGATGTATGCATATCTTTTTGAGTTGATCGTCTGGAGTAGTGTATCCAGATATTCATATTCTTGTATTTATATTTGAGCCTCAGGCCGCACCTTGCTTGAGGTGTCTCATGCATATCTTTTGAGTTGACAGTCTGGATTGGTGAATCTAGACATTCATATTTATATTTCGAGCCTCGGGCCGCATCTGCTTGAGGTGTTTCGGCCTGTGGGCTGATATACATTATAATTGCGTGCGGCGTTGCCCTTTCAGAGGGAGCGGCATCGGGGCAGCATTGTACTCACCCAGTGTGAAGAGTGCACTCCCCTGCCCCTCTGCCGCCCGTGCCACCATGTGTGTATGTTGTACACGCTTGTCTTGTTTTGTGGCATGCACGCTGCCCGCCGCTGTTTTGGCCCTAGTCCTAGGGCCCTGGGACGCACCCGCAGTTGGACTGCCGCGCGGTCTGAGCTAAAACAGCTGCACTGACACTCTCAGCGAACTCGGCGAACGTGAAGCCTGAGTACTTGCCAGTCTTGATCTTCTCGATGCCCTTCGGCGGGTCCTCGACGTTGAGGCCGTCCACGTCCTGGTCGAAGTCCGCCGGGTACGCCGCGTAGATCTCGTCGTCCTCCGCCTCATGCTCCTCGACCTCCGCGTCGGGGCTCACGGCCTCGCCGCCGTCCTCGGGCTCCTCCTCCAGGTCGGACCCGGGGAACCTCGATCTCCTCCGCCGTGCGCTGGGTCCTCGGTGCTGCCGATCTCGACGAGCTCGCCTCTCCCGTGCCAACTCGGACGAGACGAGGGTGCTGCCTCAGCCTGGTTGCCGACCGTCGCGTCGTCCGGTGCCCGTCGTAGAACCTGCGCCCTCTCGGCGTGAAGAGCAGCGAGCACATCATGAACCTCCAAAGTCCTTGCCCGTCCTTTCGTCCAGATGCGGGCCGATAGGCCTTGGTGACGTGGATGCCGTTCTCGTCGCACATGTGGCACGTCAGGTAGCGCGTGATCCCGTTGGCGCCCTTGAAGAGCCTCGGGTCCGCGTCGAGGGCGTGCTCGCAGGGAACGCTCATGACAGACAAGGGCGGACGGCTCCGTCTCAGTGGCGGTTCGTACATGATGTCAATCGCCATCGTCCTCGGATCCGCCTTCGGCTTCGGCTTGGGCTTGGGTCGAGCCTTGGGCCGAGCTCCTAGACCACTGACCGAGGACACGTACACGCTCTTGACTCTTGACGTCACCGCCGTCGCCGCTGTAGTCCGTCACGCTGAAGTAGTTGGCCTTCGGCCTGTCCGAATGGGGCTGCGATGACCTCGATGACTTCGGGCAACTCGCATCTCCGTGCCAATGTCCGATCTGTCCACAGCTCGCGCAGCGAGTCGTCTTCCTCAGCTTGTCAATGCGTGCGCGCCGCTCAGGGTTCTCGCCTGGGCTGCCCCTGCCACGGACCGCCGGCCTGTCCCTCGAGCTCGCCGGTGATTGCGACCGATCTCCTCGACCGCGTCCTCGGCTGCGCCCTCGACCGCTGCCCTTGCCATGGAACTTCTGCTTGTGCTGAATGATGGCCGCGAAGCTCTCGAGCGCCTCGTCGTCCATCTGCTCTATCTCGTCAAGCGTCGCCTCGTCCTCGCCAAGGTAGTTCTCGTACGTGTCATCTCCGTTGATGGACTGGGCGCCCTGGCTGTTCGAGGCGGCGTCGTCGTCTTCGTACTCTCCATCCTCATCGATGCCGGCCTGCCACGCCGACTTGTGCTGGTGGTGTCCGTGATGTTGCCGTCGTTGACCGAACCGCTGAGGTCGCGGGTCCGGCCTCTGGTCACTCTTGCCCTTCCACTCTCGCTCGTGGATGTTCGGATGCTGCATACGTAGGGCCTTGCCGAATGCGTCCTTGTCGTATCTGTTGCCCGCGCTGCTGATGATGCTTGCATGGTCGGACTTCTCGAGCCCAGAGAACTTCAGCAGCAAGTGGGCCTGCAGGTCGTTGCTGATGCTGGTCTCCTCGCTGACCTTCTTGAGGTCGTCGAACGCCTTCGACCGCCTGGTGATGTACTCCTGCATGCTCTCGCCTGGGGACCTCCACACCGACTTGTCGTACAGCGCGCCATCGAACAGCTCAGCTGCCCGAACAGGTCCCTCCTTCAGCACGGACTCTCCCAGTGTGTTCAACAATAACTCCAGTCCGTCGGTGGTCGCTCTCTTCTTCTCGTAACTGCCGCCGCCCTTGCCTCCGCTCTCGACGGTCTCCGTCTCGAAGGTGAGCAGCTGCTGGTGAGTGAGCGACCTGACCGCGTCGTAGGCAGTGCCCGAGGGACCGTTCCTGAGGTTGATGGGCGTCGCTATCTGCTTCTCGTCGCCCATGCGCCCGAAGAAGGCGTCACGAGCTCGCTCTTGGTACTCCTCGAAGAGCGCAGGATCACCGTCCTATAGCGGGATGTCCTTCTCGAACTCCAGCTTCGACACTCTTGACATGGTCGCAGAACTGCACACCGCACTCGTGGCGCGGCTGCTGGAATTAGTAGGAGTCGCAGTGGAACTGCTGCACACCGCGCGTGGCGCGGCTGCCGGGTTGCCAGACACCGCCCAGGTAGTCCAGCTTGTGTGGGTACGCCAATCCCCACGCCGTGGATGCCGGCCTGCTCCCTGCAGGCTGGCGCGCTGCCCCCGCCACGGGCCGCGCCTATGCAGACCTCCGCGCAGCTGCTGCGGAGGCGGGAGCTGGCCGGGGCGAGTGGGCCAGCTCCGCTACCATCAAGTAGCGGGCCGCCGCCCGCGATCGTTTCTGGTTTTCTGCGCCGTAAACTCAAGAGCTCTGTGAACCAAACGTCAGCGGTCTGAGCGGGTGAGGGGGGCAGCGGCACTGGCAGGCTGGGAAAGGGGATGATCGCAGATGCAATTCAACAGAGGAGGAGGAGGAGGAGGAGGAGGACAGGCTGGAGGAGGAGAAAGAGGAGGATGGGAAGGAGAGGGGGGTAGAGGCTGAGCAAAAGTAGGAGCGGGAACTCACCTGTTCTTGCTTTCTCTCAATCCTCCCACTTCTCTCTCCTTGCTCCTCCCCCCCTCTTCCTGCTGCTCCTCCTCCTCCTCGTCCTCCTCCTCCTTCCTTCCTTTCCTCCCTCCCTCCCTCCCTCCCTCCCTACTCCACCTCTTCCTCCTCCGCCTCCTCCTCTTCCTCCACCACTTCCCATGCCCCCTCATCCCACTTCCTCCTTTTTGCCTCCGCCTCCCGCTTCCTCTCCCTTCTTTCCGTCTTTGACCATCGACCCTCGATTCTCGGTCCCGGCGCCGCCTGAGGCTGTACGAGGTGGACTACACGCTGCTGGCCCGCGCGGGAGTGCCCCCAGCTGTGGCGGCGACGCCTGCGGCGACCCCGGGCGTGCCGTCGGGCAGTGTCGCGGAGGGTAACAACCAGCCTGGGGGGGGGGCCTCCCCGTCTTTCTACTGCTTCTCTTGCTCCTCCTCCTGTGGTTGTGGTGGTAAGTGTGTCCCTTCCTTCGAGGTGGCTCCCCCTCCTTCACCTCATCTCTTCAGGGTGGCTCCCCCTCCCCCCTCCTCTTCCTCTTCCTCCTCGTCCTCCCCCTCTTCCTCTTCTTCTTCTTCTTCTTATTCCTCCTCCTCCTCCTCCTCATTCCCCTCCTCCCTCTGGAAGAGGAGGAGGGGGACGAGAGAACTTCTAGCAGGACGAGTAGCGGCAGCGGCAGAAGGACGAAGAGGAATATGAGTAGGTGGGGGAAGGCGGGAAGAGTGAGGATGGGCAGGGTAGTTCAGGAGGAGGGGAAGGCGGGGGTATAGGAGGGCGAGGAGTAAACAGGGTTGGAGTGGGGGAGGATGAGGATGAGGAGAAGGAGGAGCAGCAGGAGGAGGAGGATGAGGATGAGGCTGAGAATGAGGATGAGGATGAGTATGAGGATGATGATGCTGTTGCTGATGCTGATGACGATGATGAGGATGCTGCTACTGATGATGATGACGACGATGATGCTGCTGCTGCTGATGATGATGATTATGATACTGATGATGACGATCATGAAGATGATGCTGATGCTGATGCTGATGCTGCTGATTCTGATACTGATGATGATGTTGATGCTGCTGATTATGATGATGCTGATTCTGATACTGATGATGATGCTGATGCTGATGCTGCTGATGATGATTATGATGATGCTGATGATGATGTTGATGCTGATGCTGATGATGACGATGACGATGTTGATGCTGCTGCTGCTGATGCTGATGATGATGACGACGATGATGACGATGATGATGATGATGATGAGGAGGAGGAGGAGGAGGAGAAGGAGGAGAATGTGGTTGAGGCGGCGATCGCCCGCGAAGCGCGACTGCGTTGAGGTGCTTAATGTACACGCTTGCACGTTATATCGTGTGCCTCTGTGACTGTGTTCGTTCACTTCGCACGCACGGTGCAAGTTCGTGACAGCACAACTAAGGCATAAGCGCATTGTGTGCTGAATGTGAGCGTGAACGCCACTTGATCACTATTCGACTCGTACGTGTTGTATATGCGATTGCGACGGAAAATTTTGTTGCTGGGCCAAGTTCGCTTACACTGCCACAGCCGGTGAGCTCGCTGCTGCAGTTCCAGCGATCCTGCTGCTGCTGCTGCTGCTCCCGAGCCCTGCTCCTGAGCCCCCGCTCACTCCTCTTTTCCAACTAATCCACCGCCCTGTCCCCAGTCCCTCCGGCTTCTCCTCGTTGCCGTCTTTCTCGCCGTCGTCCTCTTCACACATGCTAGTTTTCCCTACCTAGGTTGATGCAGCGCAGCAGAAGATGCCAACGCATGTGCCATATGGCTCAATTTGCATCCCAGTCTAGAGTAGTGCTGCTTGCATCGAGCCAGAGCCAAGAGATGGTGCATGCTGCAGTAGAGGACATATGCTTGCTTGTAGGTCAATGAGAGACCGAGTCCAGTATTCGCTCTCCGTCACCGTTTTCCACTATCATGCGACTTCTGCCTGCGATCGTAGCTCTTGGTGCCAATACAACGACGCTTGACTGGCAGTGTCATGCAAGCAGACCAGATATCATTTCCAGATCAGCATCTTCGGTCCTCTGGGGTTGGATGCGTATAGGGGCGAATGATTATCACCAGCCGTAGATCAGCACGAGCAATCATTGTCGTATACCCGACTCTGTGAGGGCCGAGTCCATTGTTCGTTCGGTTTGCAAGAGCCTCAACAAGGAGTCTGCAGGTTCATGTGACCGAGGGTTCGAAGTGATTGTGCACGACTGCTTCGCCGTTGCCTTCCAGTCTGCTGCAGTGAAGGATTCCAATGGTATTTCTCTTCAGACCGCCACGAGTGATGCGGGAATATGTCATGCACAGCATGTTGAGCCGAGTCGCCAGGCTTGAGCAATACCGACGTAGCATTCATCCCGTGCAGTCTCGGGTGGGCGTTTGGGGATGGCTCGTTCTTCTTCTTCGTCTTCCTTCTTCTCCTCTTCCTCCTCCTTCTCCTCATCCTCCTACCCCTTCTGGAGTTCGGCTGCCTGACTACATAGGACATGGTTTGGCAAGTCCCCGAGCTGATCTTGTGCCAGCGCCCGTGTATGCCTCACATCCGGCGCCATGCTTTTGTTCCCGTGACGTGGGCCCCTGGATCTCTTACCCCCATCCCGTGGACTTGTTTTTTCATCCTGATTAGTCTTGTTCGACGGTCCCAGGGAGGCTGGAGGGTTTCCTCCCGTCCAGACCTCGGGGAGGGTTTCCTCGAATGGCAAGAGTGAGTCGTTTGCAAGACATCCTGATCTGAACCGCCTACGGCCGCAGTGCTGGTGGGATTGTCCGACCTGGAGGCTGGAGACGGCCTGAGGAGGCCAAGCATGGCGAACAACATTCCCGCGCGACTTTCTCTCGACGCTGGACTTAAGTCGGGCTTGTCCCTTTACATGAGGAATGTTCAAAAATAGTTGAAAAATCGTCAGGGAACAAACTTTGGGTTATTTTTGGACCATTGTGGTGTATCCTTTGACGTTTTTCTGTTTTTCGTCCAAAATCCCCCTGTAGGAGGACAGGCCCGACCTAACGCTGGAGGTATAGGCTTGTGCTTCTCTGAAGGGGAGCTCGTACGGCAGCTTTGCGCTGCGCTGACGTGGCGGCGACCTCAGCGCGGGCGTTCGAGGGCAAGCGCCGCCAGTGGTTTAGGATCGGCCGATGGCGAGCGATCTGCGCCGTCGGGGAGCTGCGATCGCTCAAGGCTTAAATCGGGCGTGTCCTTCTTTAGGGGGAATGTTCAAAAATAGTAACAAACAATTGCCGGGGGACGATTTTTCTACATTTTTTGTTTTTCGTCCAAAACCCGCCTGTAGGGGGACACGCCCGACCTAATTCAAGGCTGAATGATCCCCGCGGCGTCAGGAACTAACACTGGAGCCGTCACGACACGAACCTGCCGTACCCGCACGAGGGGGGGAGAAGTGTGACCGCCGCGTGGCGCGCGTGCCCAGGACGGTCGTCCATGCAGAACGAGCCGCGCAGAGCTCTGCCAATGGCTGGCGCGGGGCGGGGGGACTTGGTGGAGCCAGCGGGAGAATACCGAGGAATGGAGCTGCAAGGAGGAAGAGGAGGGATGGGGGGAGTGGTGTGCGCGCATGTTCGTGACCCAAAGCTCGCCCTGCATGCGCCTGGCCCTGGCTGCTCAGCGGCCGGCGATTCCCGTCTTACGCTGCCGTAGCCATTTTGGCTCAAGCATTTTGACCCGTGAGCCGCCTCGCGCGGCGTGTGTCGCAGCCTCCGTACTTGTAGCCTTGATCTTGGGAAAAACATTGTATTTGAGCGTGCACGGTCTTAGTTGAACCTGACCCGCTGATTGCAATCCATTGGCCCGCCAGAGGAATCAGTGTGTCTGTGTGTGTGTATTTGTGTGCTGGGCTTCCCCTTTCCCCTCTCTTGCATTGCGGCTTACTTCGCATCTGTACGCCCTACACGTGCCCTATCCGCCAGCGCAGTCACTCTGCCCAGCCGCCGACGCAAAGTGTGTGTGTGTGTGCGTGTGTGTGTGTGTGTGTGTGGCCGAGCTCGTCCGGAGTGCCTCCCCCACACTGGGAGGTCGAATTAGGTTTCGGTTCGGTCCGTGTCGTGCCGAGCTTGAGGCGGAGGTGTTTGAGCGCGCGTGAATCGAGTTGTGGGACGTGCTGCGGGCCGGTTTTTCCCGCCGTCGTCGTGTCTTTGTTAGTTTAGCTTCGGTTGTCCTGCTGGTTGGTTCTCTAGCTGTCCCGCTTGAAGGCTTTCTCAGCTGCATGCAGCAGTTTCTTCTTTTACCTCAGAGCCCTACCAACACCGACGCCTGATCTAGAACACCCCGACGTACACCTTCCATCTTCCGACTCCCAGTCTGCAGTTTTCGATTTCCAGCGTCCACCAGCAGCAGTCGACCTCAAAATCTCACGCTTCCAGGTTCCCGCCTCCGCCTTGCGACCTCCAGCCCCGCACCTCAGCTTCCGCTGTCCACCATCCAAGATCGAGACCCTAGCTTTTGAGCTCTAACTCTCATCAGCAGCAATCGACTTCAAAGCCTTTCGCGTTCAGTTTCCGACCACCTTGCGACCTCCAGCCCCCGCATTCTGAATTCCACATCCCACTTCTGGGCTCCCAGCTTCAAGCTTCCGACCTCCACCCCACCAGCAGCAGTAGACCTCGAAATTAACGCGTCTGGCTTGAGCCTCCACCTTCCGACTCCCAGCTCCCGCACTCTTGACTTCCTTTTTCCACCTTCCGACTCCCAGTCTCCAGCTTTCGACCTGCAATTTTCAGCAGCAGGCGACCTCAACCTCACACGCCCGATTTCATCCGTCATCCTGCGACCTCCAGCTTCCTCGCTCCAACGTTCATCTTCTGACTTCTGGCTCCCAGTTCCTTCTTTCGATCGCCAGTCCAGAAACCTTCACCAGCAGCAGTCGACCTCAAAACCCCACACGTCCAGTCCGACTTCCCTCCCCCGCACTCCGATTTCCACCTTCCGTATTCCGACTAGTCTCCAGCTTTCGACCGGAAGCCTTCACCAGCAGCAGTCGACCTCAAAACCTCATACGTCCAGTCCGACCTCTCCCCCGCGCTCCGATTTCCACCTTCCGCATTCCGACTCCCAGTCTCCAGCTTTCGACCTCCAATGCCCGCCAACAGCAGCAGCATCAAAGTACATCTAATCCTCACTCATCCAGCTTCCAGCCTCAACCTTGCGAGCTCCAGCTCCCGCACTCCGACTTCCACCTTGCACCTTCCAGCCCCCTGTAGCGATGGCGCACGAGTGCGACCAAACCTCTCGGACACCAACGCTGGATCACGAACATTCCGCCTTACGTTCTTCCTTCTCTAGCCTCCCCACGCTGACTTCGACTACGATCCTTGAGGCTCCAGCCCACACGCGCTGACAATCTGGGGCCCGCCCTTGGCGGTCACCCGCGCGCTCCGTTCCACTCCGCTCCTCTCCGCTGCGCTGGTCGAGAGGAGTGAGTAGGAGCGAGTGAGGAGGAGGAGGACGGGGTGTGAGGAATGAAGAATGCGGATGAGGCGGAGGGAAGAGGAGGAGGAAGAGGAGGAGGAGGTGGAGGAGGAGGACGTGGATGAGGAGGAGGAGGTGGACGTGGAGGTGGAGGTGGAGGAGGATGATGATGAGGAAGAGGAGGAGGAGGAGGAAGTGGATGCGGAGGCGGAGGCGGAGGAGAAGGAGGGAGAGAGGAGGGTTTGCACGGATTTCTGTCAAGGCAAGAGTCTTGAAGAGAACAGGCGCAAATCGGAGCGGGGGAGGCCCGGTTGCGCGGCCGAAAACGTTAACACATTTGGGAGCTGTCAACGTACGACGACAGCAGCACCAAGTATGTACCTCCGGGCGGGCAGAAACTCAAAAGGCTGAACGTTTACGCCCGAAGGCCGCGATCATGTCCCTCCGCGCAGCCTCAGCTTAGATAGCGACCCCCCCAAAGGTGCCGACCCGAGCATCTGCCTCAATGAGGTGGGGGCCCTAGAACACCCAAAACGACCAAGCGGGTCACCCGGCCCGTGTAAACACGGTGCCCAGAACCACCCCCGCCAGTCCCCTTGCCCAAGGGGGACCAGGCGGCACGCATCCATGAGCCTCCGACGACCAATTGGTCGAAGTGACCCGAGTGCGGTACACTGGCGTACAGCGGACTGGGCTTTACCGTGCTACTCGCCGCACCCCCCCCCGCCTTTCGGTGGTCTTGTTCCTGTCACGGTAGGAGTGACGGAGCCCTGAGATCTTGGATGGCCCCCGTTTGGCCGCGCACGGCCAGGTGGTGTCAGCCCCCAGACTCCAGGACCCTGTCCTTCCAACCGCGGCGCAGGCTGGGACAGCCTGCGGCTACCCGCTACCCTTTCGCTCCCCCAGGGTCAGACCCAGGGTGACGAGCGGGCGGCTACCATATTTTCCTTAAACGGGGACCCAGTGACACAGGTTCTGGAAAAGGCATGCGGGAGGAGTGAGGAGGGAGGGATGACTGAGGGAGGAGGGAGGGGGGAGTAGGGCAGGGGGAGAGAGAAGGAAGGAGGGTGGGCAGAGAGGAGGTATGGCGGAGGAGGAGGAGGAGGTGGATGAGGAGGAAGAGGAGGATGATGATGATGAGGAGGAGGAGGAGGAAGAGGAGGTGGAGGAGAAGGAGGAGGAGAAGGACGAGGAGGGGGAGGAGGACGAGTGGGGGCGATGAGGCGGATGGCTATGATGATAACGCTGGCGATATGGATGACGACGACGATGGCGATGACAATGCTGATGATGATCATGATGATGCCGATGATGCTGATGCTGATGATGACGATGATGACGATGATGACGATGCTGATGCTGATGATGATGATGATGATGATGATGATGATGCTGATGGCGACGACGACGTGCCGATGACGACGGTTGATGATGGTGATGATAATAACGATGATGAGGATGCTGATAATGCTGCTGTTGCTAATAGTGATTATGATTATCATGATGCTGCTTATGATGATGATGGTGATGCTGCTGCTGCTGCTGCTGATGATGATGATGATGATGATGATGATGATGATGATGATGATGCTGCTGATGATGATGATGGTGGTGGTGGTGATGGTGATGATGATGCTGCTGCTGATGGTGGTGGTGATGATGATGAGGATCACGACTCTGGTGGTGAGGATGCTGTTGCTGCTGGTGCTGCTGCTGTTGCTGTTGCTGCTGCTGCTGTTGCTGTTGCTGTTGTTGTTGTTGTTGCTGTTGTTGTTGTTGTGGTTGTGGTGGTTGTGGTTGTTGTTGTTGTTGTTGTTGTTGTTGTTGTTGTTGTTGTTGTTGTGGTGGTTGTCATTGTCATTGTCATTGTCATTGTGGTTGTGGTTGTTGTTGTTGTTGTTGTTGTTGTTGTTGTTATTGTTTGTAGGTGTTGTTGTTGTGGTTGTTGCTGTTGTTATTGTTGTTGTTGTTGCTGCTGTTGTTGTTGAACCTTAATTGCTAAACACTCATTCTTGTTGGACCCTTAGATCCGCCCTCGCGCTCTCGCATAGGCGACGGCTGCATTTTTTCTGAAATCGAGGCTCACGCTCAGGCGTTTCGGGGTTTCGCCAAACCGGCCCCCCACAAACAACAACGGTCCGGCTCGATACTTTTTCTTTTTTGCTCAGGCCCAGTGCTCTTGCCGCCGCCAAAAGCCGGCTTTCCCACCGAACCAGCGCTCCGGCTCGATTCTTCTTCGCCTTCTCTGCAGGATCGGCGCTCTCGCCTCGGCGCCAGAATCCAGTTTTCCCACCAAACCAGCGCTCCGGCTCGATATTCCTCGCTTTTTACGTACGCAGGATCGGCGCTCTCGCCTCGGCGCCGCAAACGGTCCAGCACTACACCAACGGCGCTCCCGCTCGGTATTTCCTAGCGTTTTGCTCAAGACCGCGCCCCTCGTGTCGGAATCTCCTCTGGCGGGCTTCCAAAGTCATTGTGGGAGCTCAATTACAAAACAACTATTATTGTTGGGACCCCTGAATACCGCCCTGGGGCTCTCGCCTGGGTGCCGGCTGCATTTCCTGCGAAGTCGAAACTCACGCTCAGGCGTTTCGGGGTCCCGCCATAATGGCCCCCCGAACAACAACAGCAGCAACAACAATACTAACAACAACGACAACAAGAGCAGCAGCAGCAACAACAACAACAGCAATAACAACAATAACACCAACACCAACACCAACAACAATAACAACAACAACAACAGCAGCACCAACACCACCAGCAGCAACAACAACAATCATTCTAAGACTGTTCGCTCTTACGTGCCCGTGTGTCCGTCAAAGCGAGTTTCCCACACCCTCGATACCCGCCCTTTTTGTCTTCGATCACAGCCTCTTTGGGGGGATTCTTTCTCTTTGCGGGGGGCGGCGGGCTTAGACAGGCGGGCAAACCTGCACGGGCGGACAATCCTTCGTGGGCGTACATGTGCCTGCCATTGGAATTGGCGTGGGCCCTGAAAAAAGAGGAGGGGGAGAACGAGGGAGAGTAGGAGGAAGGGAGGGGGAGTGACGAAGGAAGAGGGAAAGCGCCAGGAGAGCAGGAGCGAAGAGGGGGGCTGTTGATCAGAGGCAGAGAGAGAGAGAGAGAGAGAGAGAGAGAGAGACAGAGAAACAAAGACATATAAGAGAGGTAGAGAAAGAGAGAGAAAGAGAGCGAGAGAGCGAGAGAGAGAGAGAGAGAGAGGGGAGAGAGAGAAAGAAAGAGGGAGGGAGGAGGCAGGATAGTGTAGGGAGAAGGGAGGAGGGAGAGGAGGGAGAGGGGATAGGGCAGAGAGGCATAAGGATGAGGGAAGAGAGGAGGGAGAGAAAAGGGAGGAGGGGAGGGAGGAGGGAGGAGGGAGAGGGAGGAGGAGCAGGAAGGTAAGAGCGTGAACGTTCGAGGAAGTCCTAGGCGAAAGCGCCGTTCCTGAAGGAAGTCTCGGGCGGGGGCCAGCGACGGGCGGGCGATCCCCTGACGGGCGGGTCGGGCGGGTGGGACATTCAAGCGGGATGCCTGAGTATGGCGAGAGCGCGATTACTAGTACATTGTAGCGGCGTCCTTGGCGCAGCGTGTTTCTTGAGCGCCGAAAGCGCGATTTCTGAATACATTGCATTGAAGTCACAGGCGAGAACACAACTCCTCAATAATAGTGAGGGGCTTTCTGGCGGGAGCGGGGGTCTTGATTCAATTGCGAGGAAGTCTTGATTCAATTGCGAGGAAGTCTCAAGCGGGAGCGCCGTTCCTGAGTAAAGTGTGAGGAAGTCTCAGATGGGAGCGGGAGTCCTGATTAAATTGCGAGGAAGTCACAGGCGGGAGCACCGATCCTGAGTAAATTGTGAGGAAGTCTCAGGAGCGGGGGTCCTGCGTAAATTGTGAGGAAGCCTCAGGCGGGAGCCGTGATTGTTGTAATCCGGGGGGCCAGGGTCCAGTTTGAGCAGGAAGACTTTCCCTGTCAAAAACAGGGTGCGAGCGTCGAGGGGCACACTTTGATTGAGAAAAAAAAAGCATGCACCAGTGAGGGGGATCAGCAATCATTATTTTCAGAAAGGAGAATTGAACAACAACAACACCACCACCAACAACAACAGTAACGACAACAACAACAACAACAACAACGACAACACCAACAAGAACAACAACACCAACGACAACAACAACCGCAACAACAGCAGCAGCAACAACAACAACAACAACAGCAACAACAACAACAACAACAACATTAACAACAATGACAACAGCAACAACAACACTCATTTTGAGACTGCTCGCTCCTATCTGCTAACGTCCCCATCAATACGTATATCTCAAACCCTCGGTACCCGCCCTCGTCGTCTTCGATCGTCCTTCCTGCCACGTGTATTTACTGCAGCCCCTAAGGCAAGGGAAGAGAAGACGGGTGGAAGGGGAGGGATATTAATGGAGCACGAGAGAAATTTGCAGGAGGGGGGCAAGGATCAGACAACAAGTGGTGTAATCAGACGGGCAGATCGGGTGGACAGACCCATAGCGGGCAGGTCGGGAAGGCGGGCCCAGGCGACCAGGTCGAGCAGGCGGGTTGCTGAAGCGTGGGTCCTGCATGAATCGCGAGGAAGTTTCGAACGATATCGCGATGCCCAAATACATCGTGAGAAGAGCCAAAGCGAGATCGCGATTCCTGAGCGCCGAGGGCGCACCGTCTGAATAAGTTACGAGGAGCTCCCACGCGAGAGCGCGATTCGTATACAATTGATACCGGAGAAAAGCCCCAATCATAATCTTTTTAGGGCTGTAGGGCTATAGGGCTACAGGGCTTTATGGGCTCTTGGGCGCTACATGGGCTATATGGCTATATGGGCTATAGGGCTATAGGGCTATGGGGCTATAGGGCTATAGGGCACCCCCGGGCACCCGGGCACTCCTGGGGACGCCCGGGCTCCCGGTCACCCGGGCACCTGGGCACCCCCGGGCACCCGGGCACCTGGGCGTGCGGCGAAAATCGGCGGCAAACCTAACCTAACCATATGAATCCGCTAAGACCTCTACAGAGGCAAGCTCTGATATGGGGAATTGTGAGGAAATCCCGCGCGGGAGCGCGATTTGGGAATACATTGTGAGGAAGAGTCGGGCGGGAACCGTTGTTGCTGTAGTTCGGGGGCTAGGGGCCCAGTTTGAGCCTAGTGACTTTCCCTGTTGGAAAACACAGGGTGCGAAAAAACAACACCATCAACAGGAACAACAACAACCACAGCAACATCATCAACAACAACAACACCTACACCACCAACAACACCACTACCAACAACAACAACAGCAACACCAACACCAACAACAACAGCAGCAGCAGCAACAAGAACAACAACATCAACGCTCCCGTTCGAGACCTCTTCTTTTTTTACTCATGCCCGCCTCGGGGGGCCTAGGAAAGTTCCGAACAAAAAAACAAAGTGAACTGCGGCCCCTCCCGACGGGATGCGTGGTCCTCTTGGCCAGTCCTCCTCTTCCTCATCCGCTCTCCTCTTCTCTTGTTTCCGCTTCCTCCTTCTTGAGAGCCCCGTCCTCCCTGTCTTTTCCTTCTCTCTCGTCTTTTTGCGCAGCTTCCAGCTTTGTGTGGACCATGGAGAGCGTGGAAGAATGATCAAGGAGGGTTCATCGTCATACTCAGTGGGCTGGGGGCCGCCGCTATGACAATCTGCGTGGGTTTCGCTTCCCTGCGTGGCTGCTCGCGTAAGGACGCGTGGACATCGTGTAACCGTGGGAGCGACGACGACGACGACACGACGGCGGCGGCGGCGACGACGACGATCACGACGACGACGACCACGACCACGACCACGACCATGACGACGACGACAGCGGCGGCGGCGACGACGACGACGGCGAGGCGGCCTGTTTGAGTTTTTCCTGCGCGTTTGGGTTTGCCCGAGGGGCCTGGGAAGGAGCAGTCTCCTTCTTCTCTCTTCTTCCTCCTCCTCCCCCTCCTCGTCCTCCTCTCCCTCCTCCTCCTCCTTCTCCTCCTCCTCCTCCTCCTCCTCCTCCTCCTCCTCCTCCTCCTCCTCCTCCTCCTCCTCCTCCCCCACTTCTCCTCCGCGATGCAGGGCGCGGGCAAATGGAATTCGAAGGCGGTGTGCTTTCCGAGCAGGTATTGTGAAATTCTTCGGAAGAGTTGTTCGCGAGACCATCCGTAGCCATTTTGGCTCAAGGCTCGAGGCTCCCCTCGCCCGCCGCGCCTCCCGCCCCCCCCCCCGCGTCAGCAGCGAGCCGGCATGGCGGCGGAGCTCGAGGAGCCGAGGAAGCCGCAGAACGCCTACTGGATCTGGCTCAGCGAGAGCCGCGACGCGCTGACGAAGGAGGCCGGCAGCGCGAAGGGGTCCGTCGTCGGCAAGCTCGCGGGCGAGAAGTGGAAGGCCATGTCGGCGGAGGCCAGGAAACCCTTCGAGGATCGGGCGGCGGAGCTGAAGTCCGCGTACGAGAAGGCCATGGAGGAGTTCAAGAGCGCTGGAGGCCAGGTGGGCAAGCGGCGCCTGGAGAAGAGCGAGGGGAAGAAGGCCAAAGCTGAGGGGAAGCAGGCCAAAGCTGACAAGAAGGCGAAAAAGGATGCCCGCGCGTCTTCTGGGAAGCCATCGCGACCGCCTTCTCCCTACTGGCTCTGGCTCGGCGAGAACCGCGAGGCGCTTGCGAAGGAGGCCGGCAGCACAAAGCCGCCCGTCGTCGCCAAGCTCGCTAGCGAGAAGTGGAAGGCCGTGTCGGAGGAGGACAGGAAGCCGTTCGAGGTGAAAGCCGCAGAGCTGAGGGCCGCGTACGACAAGGCTGTGGAGGAGTGGAAAAACAACGGTGGCGTCGAGGACGGCGCGAAGCAGGGCAGTCCCCGGAATCGCAAGGCGGACAACGCCAAGACGCTTCCAGCGAAGCAGGGCAGCTCCCGGAAGCGCAAGGCGGACAAGGCCGAGACGCCTCCTGCGAAGCTGTCCCGCGCGTCTGTGGATCGCGACTCCAGCAAGAAGGCCCCCGGGGCTCAGGGCAAGAGCCGCGGCAAGGCTGCACCGGCGACGGCGGCAGTCGTTCTCGAGAAGGACATCGCGGAGAAGGCGGAGAAAGCGGGCTTCACTAGCGTGCTCCAGAAGTTCCTTGCTCGTGAGGACGTGGTGGCCAGCGGCAAGAGCCAGGCCGAGGCCTTTCAGGCGCTCGAAGCGGTGGGCGGCTTGATGCACCCGGCCCGCCGCACCTTGCTGGGGGCTTGAGGAGATGTGCATTTTGGTTCTAAGCCACACGGACCTCTGGCCAGTCCATTGAACCTCTGTTGCACTCTGCTCTTCTTTCTGGTGCTCGTTTCCTTCCTCGTCCCCTCTCCTCTCCCACCGCGGGGCCACTGCGCAGCAGTGGTTGGGTGCATGCCATCGGCCTAGACGCCGCGCAAAGAGCACCGCAAATATTGTGCAGGTTAGCCTCACTCTTCTTTTCCCGCTGCGCCCACTACTCTTCGTTTTCGTTCCAGAGGCTGTGCGAACAACACATCGCATGCTACTTTTAGCTTCAACATTTCCATTTCACTGCGCACTTCTAGAGTGTATGCAGCAGACATGATAGAAGCGCCAGTACTTCAGATTGTCCGTCATGGTTGTTGGTCCTCGGGGGGCGAGGAGAGAAAAAAAAAAGAGTTGTTCGCGAGACCTCCTTTGGCGGGTAAATCGGACCCTCCATGCCCCAAGCAAGCAATCCCCGAACATGGGGATAGTTATCATGATTTATGCATGTGGCACGTGCAAACATGCCGCATGAGGATAAAGTGATTATTATTGTTGTTGTTGTTGGTGCTGTTTTTATTGTTGTGGTTGTAATTCTTGTTGTTGCTATGGTTGTCGTTATCGTTGTCTTTGTCGTTGTCGTTATCGTTGTTGTTGTTGTCGTTGTTGTTGTTATTGAATTTCCGGCTTTGAAGAACAAATATTGTTGACCCCTCGTCCAGCGGTGCACATTGTGTTTTTCAATCGAAATGCCCCCTTCGGGGCTCGCGCCCTGCTCGTTCATCGGGGGTAATCTTCCTGCTCAAACTGTGTTGTTGGCCACCTTCCAGCTACAGCAACAACGGCTCCCGCATGATATTTCCTCATAGTTTATTCCCAACGCGTTCTCTCGCGGTGGACTTCCTCAGTATGCACGCAGGGGTCGCGCTCTCACGTGGGCCTTCATGCAATTTATTCAGACGCCGCGCCCTTGCAACTCAGGAATCGCACCCTCCCTTCGGCTTTCCTCACGACTTACTTGGGAATCGAGCGGTCATTCGATACCTCCCCACAATTCGTGCAGGACTCACGCTTCAGCAGCCCGCCAGCTCGACCTGGCCGCCTGGGCTCCCCTTCCTGACCTGCCCGCTATGGGTCTGCCCGCCCGATCTGCCCGTCTGGTTCTGCCACTTGCTGTCTGCTCCTTTCATGCAGGACTCACGCTTCAGCAGCCCGCTAGCTCGACCTGGCCGCCTGGGCTCCCCTTCCCGACCCGCCCTGTGGGGTCTCTTGGGCCGGTCTGCCCGTCTGGTTCTACCACGTGTTCTTCGTGCTCCTGGCCCCCCTCCTGCTAATTTCTCTCGTGCTCCATCCTTTTCCCTCCATCTTCCATCCGTCCTTTTTTCCGTGGTGGTCATCATCTGAGCGGGGATACGTTTCACAAGTTTGAATCGAAGATCTTCCTGTCGAGGCCACGGCCTCCAAGCCATGCCTTCATGGACACGGGCGAGCTCCCCAGAGGAACACGCACGACTCCGGCGTTCGTTCGTTCGTTCGCTTGTATGGGCTGCACTGAATGCACGTGGCAGGTAAGTCCCCCAAGGGGGTACGATCGAAGACGAAGAGGGCGGGTACCGAGGGTTTGGGATGTACGTTTGGAATGGCACGCGTGCAGGTACGAGCGAACAGTCTTAGAACGATTGCTGTTTTTGTTGTTGTGGTGGTTCCCTACCTAGGCTCTGCCTAGAGGGTTCTTACCCTGTATCTTAAAGGGGCCGGGCAGTGGACCGCGCCCCGGGCGGTTCCCCCGGCATTCGCCCCGCGGTTCCCCCAGTCCCTTGGGAGCTTTAGCTTTAGCTTTAGCTTTAGCTTAGCTTGAGCTTAGCTTTAGCTTAGCTTTAGCTTAGCTTTAGCTTAGCTGTAGCATAACTTCAGCTTAGCTTCAGCTTAGCTTTAGCTTAGCTTTAGCTTAGCTTTAGCTTCGCTTTGGCTTAGCTTTAGCTCAGCTTTAGCTTAGCTTTAGCTTAGCTTTAGCTTAGATTTAGCTCAGCTTTTGCTTAGCTTTAGCTTAGCTTTACTGTTACTACTAATGCTGCTCTCCTAGGGGCTCCAACTCCTAGGTAGGATCGCACTGGGATAATTGTTGTTGTGGTTGTGGCTGTTGTGGTGACTTGTCGTTGTTTCCGTTGTTGTTGTGGTTATTGTTGTTGTTGTTGTTGTTGGTGTGGTTGTTGTTGGTCATGTTGGTGATGATAGTGACTCTGATGCTGGCGATGATGGCGACGATGACAATGACGATGACGCAGACGATGATGATGAGGATGATGATGCTGATGGTGATGAGGATGAGGATGATGACGATGATTATGATGTTGGTGGTGATGTTGTTGTTGATGACGATGATGAAGAAGCTGATGATGAGGATGTTGATGACGATGATACTGGTGGTGATGGTGATGATGACATGGTGATAATGACGGCGATGATGACAATGATGATGATGGTGATGATGATGTTGATGATGATGATGCTGCTGATGATGATGATGATGATGCTGAGGATGATGGTGATGCTAATGATGATGACGATGATGCGGACGAATGTTGATGATGATGATGATGATGATGATGATGATGATGATGATGATGATGATGATGATGATGATGATGATGATGATGATGATGATGATGGGTGGTGGTGATGATGATGATGCTGATGGTGATGGTTATGGTGATGATGGTGATGGTGATGGTGATGGTGATGATGCTGTTGTTGTTTTGGTGCTGCCGCTGCTGATGATCATGAGGCGTTGGAGGAGGAGGAGAAGGGGTAGGAGGAGGAAGGGAGGGGTGAAGGGAGGCGGAGGAGGCGGAGACCCATGATGAGGAGGAAAGTTCTAGCACCTGCGTTAACCATCGGAATGAGAGGGATGACCGTAACATGACTACTAAGAGTCACACGTGCCATATGGAGAGGAATCGCGACTACTAATGATGAGGGCAGCGCTTCTTTTGTTATTTTTATCGTGCCAACAACCAATACTGCCGTGACTGATACTAGTACGGCAAGAGAGACGCACACAATCAACATACGCGTCCTCTTGCAATACGAATCACAAACTGAAAGGAGGAGGAGGTCTACATCAGCGATGTCGCAATGCACCCTCCTGTCCCAAGTCCCCTTCTCATACGTCCCATAAAAGCTCTCCGATCACAACCAGAAGCTACTCCCCCTTGAACGACCAGCACCATACGGGTCTGCCACTCCGGCGAGGGCATTCTGTTGGTGCGTAGCCAGGAATGCGGAGCTGTGATCGCACAAACGAGGTGTCCATTGATATCCCCCTCTTGAGCAACGACCGCCCCCCATCCGTGTTACTTTTACACACGCTTGCATTCGAGGGCCATGAACTCTAAGGGGCCTCGAACGGTGTCCCCGTCCTGGAAAAGGAACAGCCCTCGATCTGTGCAGTGCTGCATGTGTTGAAGTTTCGGGCTTAACTTTGCAGTTGGGGCGCGCATCAAGAATCCATGTGCTTTTCGTCAGGGTATTCATGGGTTTCTTCGCTCCTGGCGCTGCGCGGTGACTTCCCGCAGCCGTTGAAGGAGCTGTTGCGTTCAGGGTGCTTCAGGTTTCCCCTCGGGTGCACCTCGCGCACGGGTTCTCAGGGTTGGATTTCTTGCGAGGGTTTCTTGCGGCCGCGCCCGCACTGTGAGGAGCCCAAGCGAGATTCCTATTTTGAAACAGAACCGTCATCCATCTTTTTCATGCGTGTAAGCTCTTGCGACGAGCGTGCGCGGCGCTGTGGCGGGAGCCCCATTTTCGAAAAGGACTTGTGCTCCATCCTTGAAGCTGTTGCAGAATTTCAAGGCGAGTGTGTGCGGCTCTAAGGCGAGAGCCCCATTTGGAAAACTACCTTTCTCCACCTTCAAATTGGTGCAAACTTTAAGACGAATGTGTGTGTAGCGCGCAGGGGAGAGCCCCATTTGCAAAGCGACCCCCCTCTAGATTTGCATCCGGGAATGATAACCGCATGCCGGTGATAATAAAGGGACCCCCCCTTCAGTGTTTAGAGTTGATTATCGTCGCCCTATACAAAATTCAAATTGGGCGGCGAGCGCTGAGGCCGAACTTCATTATCACCTCGAAACGCTATGTTGAGATAGCAACATCAAGCGATGTTGATATAGCAACATCAAGCGAAGCGATCACATTTTCAGGATGTGTCAAGCGAAACCAATAATTTTGGGAGGCAGACTCAAACGAAACGAGCAATGTTTCAAGGATGTCTCAAGCGAAATCAGCAATTCTGTGAGGATGTCTCAAGCGATTCGAGAAGCTTGTCAATTCTCAAACCAGCAAGTTTTTTCTTTTTATTTATATTTTTTATTATCTTCCTTTTTATATATGTATCTATCCCCGCGCGCGCCTGAACTTTTTTATCTCTGGGGTTGATTATCCATGGAAAGGGGAGCACATGAGCTACCTACATGAGCACTTAAAAGAATCAATTTTCATAAAGCGTTTGTAAATTAAAATTGATAGATTTGGAACTTTCCATTTTTCCGTTCTTCTTCTCTTCTCCTTCTTCTCTTCTTCTTCTCTTCTTATTATTCTTCTACTTTCCTCTTCTTATTTTATATTTCTATCTGTCCTCACGCTCGCCTGAACTTTTATATCCCTGGGGCTGATTATCCATGGAAAATGAAGCACATGAGCTACCCTACACGAGCACGTAAAAAACAATTGTCATAAAGCGTTTGTAAATTAAAACTGATAGATTTGGAACTTTGGATTTTTCCTTTCTTCGTCCTCTTCTTATTCTCCTCTTCTTCTTCTTTCTTATTATTCTTCTACTGTATTCTTCTTCTTTTATATTTCTCTCTGTCCCCACGCTCGCCTGAACTTTTTTTATCTCTGGGGTTGATTATCCATGGAAATTGAGGCACATGAGCTACCCTACACGAGCACTTACAAACAACAATTTTCATAAAGCGTTTGTAAATAAAATCTAATAGATTTGAAACTCGAGATTTTTTCTTCTTTTCCTCCTTCTCCTCCTCAAGCGAAATAAGCAATAGTTTCAAGATGTCTCAAGCGAAATACGCAATAGTTTCAGGATGTTTCAGGCGACATCAGCAATAATTTGAGGACGTTACAAGCGAAAAACACAATTATTTCGAGGATGTCTCAAGCGAAATAAGCAATAGTTCGACTGTGTCTCAAGCGAAATAAGCAATAGTTTGCGGATGTCTCAAGCGAAACAAGGGATTTGTCGAGGATGTCTCCAGCGAGATAAGCCATTGTTGAGGATATTTCTATGAAAACTAAACACCAAGGATGTCTCAAAACGTGCTCGGCTTGGTCTCCTCTTGATCATCTCTTACTTCGAGATTATGCTGAGGTCTGCTGGGCTACTTTTATTATCTCTCCCTTAACCCCGAACTTTATTTAATCGCTTCGCTCATTCCGCCGGCCCATATTGTCGCAC